ACACACACACACACACACACACACACACACACACACACACACACACACACACCTTCCTGAAGGCTCTTTACCTCAGGTGTTCTCACCTTCAGACCAGGTTCATCAGAGCTCCAGTGGGTGGTCCATGTGAGACCATGTGAGACCATGTGAGGGGTTCGGGTTAGGTTAGCTCAGTTAGCTGCTGAGGCAGCTGCAGTTCTCATTCTGACCTCCAGGAGGAAGTAGAGGTTTCACCTGAGAAAACACAGGAGAAGAAGAATCAGAAGCAGCCAGTTAATCTTACCTGGACACAGGAACATATCTGATATTATCACTTTAGTTTTTAGTTTCTTTAAATCCACAGAAATGTTCTTAGAAATAAAACATCTTCATGACAGGAAGTCGTTATAAAAACACGTCCAGTTCTTCCTGGTCCTCAGAGCTGCTGTGACTTCCTGGTTGGATGTCCTGATTATCTTCATGTTGTCCTCAACCTGACCTCCAGAGATCTCCTGGACTCCTCCATTACTCCTCCATTACTCCTGCTGTACACCTCCATTACTCCTCCTGTACACCTCCATTACTCCTCCATTACTCCTGCTGTGCTCCTCAATTACACCTCCATTACTCCTCCTGTACTCCACCATCACTCCTCCATTACTCCTCCTGTGCTCCTCCATTACTCCTCCTGTAATACTCCTGTACTCCTCCATCACTCCTCCTGTGCTCATCCATTACTCCTCCTGTACTCCTCCATTACTCCTCCATCACTCCTCCTGTGCTCATCCATTACTCCTCCTGTGCTCATCCATTACTCCTCCTGTACTCCTCCTGTACTCCTCCATCACTCCTCCATTACTCCTCCATTACTCCTCCATCACTCCTCCTGTACTCCTCCTGTACTCCTCCATTACTCCTCCATTACTCCTCCATCACTCCTCCTGTACTCCTCCTGTACTCCTCCTGTACTCCTCCATTACTCCTCCATCACTCCTCCATCACTCCTCCTGTACTCCTCCATCACTCCTCCATCACTCCTCCATCACTCCTCCTGTACTCCTCCTGTACTCCTCCATCACTCCTCCATCACTCCTCCATCACTCCTCCATCACTCCTCCATCACTCCTCCAGTGCTCCTCCTGTACTCCTCCATCACTCCTCCATTACTCCTCCATTACTCCTCCAGTACTCCTCCTGTACTCCTCCATCACTCCTCCTGTACTCCTCCTGTACTCCTCCATCACTCCTCCTGTACTCCTCCTGTACTCCTCCATCACTCCTCCTGTGCTCCTCCTGTACTCCTCCTGTACTCCTCCATCACTCCTCCTGTACTCCTCCTGTATTCCTCCATCACTCCTCCTGTGCTCCTCCGGTACTCCTCCTGTACTCCTCCATCACTCCTCCATTACTCCTCCATTACTCCTCCATTACTCCTCCTGTGCTCCTCCATTACTCCTCCTGTACTCCTCCATCACTCCTCCATCACTCCTCCTGTACTACTCCTGTACTCCTCCATCACTCCTCCATCACTCCTCCTGTACTCCTCCATCACTCCTCCTGTGCTCCTCCTGTACTCCTCCATCACTCCTCCATTACTCCACCTGTACTCCTCCATCACTCCTCCATTACTCCTCCTGTACTCCTCCATCACTCCTCCATCACTCCTCCTGTACTCCTCCTGTACTCCTCCATCACTCCTCCATCACTCCTCCTGTACTCCTCCTGTGCTCCTCCATTACTCCTCCTGTACATCTCCTGTACTCCTCCGTCACACCTCCATTACTCCTCCTGTACACAAGCACATTTTGGAGCACCACTTCTTCACCATCCTTCAAAAAGCCTCGGTCCTCCTGTTCAGGATTGTTGTTCGTAAGACTGCAAGGTCCTGACAGGGACCCCCAGAGTCCAGAGTCCAGAGTCCAGACATCCAGAGTCCAGAGTCCAGACACCAGAGTCCAGAGTCCAGACACCAGAGTCCAGACACCAGAGTCCAGACATCCAGAGTCCAGACACCAGACATCCAGAGTCCAGAGTCCAGACACCAGAGTCCAGAGTCCAGACACCAGAGTCCAGACATCCAGAGTCCAGAGTCCAGACACCAGAGTCCAGACATCCAGAGTCCAGAGTCCAGACACCAGAGTCCAGAGTCCAGACACCCAGAATCCAGAGTCCAGAGTCCAGACATCCAGAGTCCAGACATCCAGAGTCCAGACATCCAGAGTCCAGACATCCAGAGTCCAGAGTCCAGACACCAGAGTCCAGAGTCCAGACACCCAGAATCCAGAGTCCAGACATCCAGAGTCCAGAGACCAGAGTCCAGACACCCAGAGTCCAGAGTCCAGACATCCAGAGTCCAGAGTCCAGACACCCAGAGTCCAGAGTCCAGACATCCAGAGTCCAGACACCCAGAGTCCAGAGTCCAGACATCCAGAGTCCAGAGTCCAGACACCCAGAGTCCAGAGTCCAGACAT